AGAATTTTGACAATCACCTCAAACTAAGTGCAAAGCATTTTATAAAAATTTTGAAACACAAAAAAACCCAAGATACACCCAGGTGGTCCGAGAACAATCATCAATAAAGTTGACAAATCATCGATGACCCTTTAAAGACATAAAACGAGAGGGACCCCATACATCAGAATGAATCAATGAAAAATGAACTAAACTTTTATTAATAGAAGGAGCAAAAGAAGCTCTGTGTTGTTTTCCAAGTTGACATGACTCATATTGAACCTCAAAAACATTATTTTTCAAAAAAACGGAAGGAAAAAGATGCTTAAGTAACAAAAAAGGTGGATGCCCAAGACGACGGTGCCACAGCCATATGTCTTCCTTTATAAATGGTAACTAAATGGATGAATGAGCCAAGTTGTCTGCTTGATCCAGGATATAGAGACCATTCTCGTTTCTACCAATGCCAATTATCTTCCTCGTGATAAGGTCCTGAAACAGACAATGATCAAGAAAAAAGTTACAAAAGGAAGCAGTGGCATGAATTATACCTTTCCCTGACACAGAAAAAATGGTACCATCAGCAATTCAAACTTTATCCTATCTTGAAGAAGGGGTATATGCAGAGAACAAATCAAAAGATCCAGACATATGGTCGGAAGCACTAGAATCAATAATCCAAGGCAACATTTGATGATATAGGAAAGCAAAGGAAACCCAGAAATATCAGCAGAGGAAACAACCAGAGCGGGGGACTGTGGCTCAACTGTATCAAAATGATGAGCTCGGCATTGGGCCCTCAACCTCTAGACTGACCCAAGCGACCCCCTCGAGACCCAGAACAATCTCCACGACCCCCAGATGGCATGCAACTTCCAACAAGTCTCACGGGTGTGGCGAAGGCGACGACAATAGTCACAAAAAAGGGTATCCTTCTCAGAAGGAGGACAAGAACCACGATCCCCATCTCGAGAAGGTACAGAAACTAGACCAGATCGATCAGAAGCGGCTGACGGAAGCATAGCAGAACGATAACTCTCCTCATTCTACACATAAGCAAACACTTCTTGGAGAGAAGAAAGCACATCCATACCCAGCAAACGACCCCTAACAGGATCAAACTCCACATTCAAACCTTCTAAAAACTTGGAGACCCGCACTTGTTTAACAAATTTTCGGTACCCAATAGAATTTGTGGGACAAACTTGTAGTCCTGAAGATGATCAAGTCTCTTCCACCCATTGCTAAAGAAAGTAAAATATTGGAGAATAGTCATCTCACCCTGGACGGACCGGTCAATTGAGCATCGCAACTCAAAAGTCTGTGAAAAATTGCATTTGCAAGAATACGTAGTGGCCACAGCCTCCTAAATATCATGTGCTGTGTCCATAGACAAGTATCCCTCACCAATCACCGAAACCATGGAATGTATCAACCAACCCATGATAAAAGAATTGGTAATCTCCCACTGATCATAACCCGGATCTGTGGGACTGGGGGCCTGAACGCGCCTATCAACATATCCCAGCTTCCCTTTGCTCTTCAAAAACATAGTCAAACTCTGCGACCACGCTAGATAATTCTGATCATTAAAAAGAGAGGTGGTGATTTTTCTAGCCAGGGTTGAGGGAATCAGTCATAGTAGCAGGCAAACCAGGACTCGCGCCTTGAGGAGCAGGCTGTGAAGTAGTGGACTCACTAGTCAATTCTGCCATGAATACTCTACTAAGGAACCCTCACACAAACACTAGTCTAATCACAAACCCGAAAGATGAGAAAACATACCAAACAAAACAAAAAAGATTTAACAAAACATTTTTTAAAACATTTTTTTTTTTTTTTTTTTGAGAAGACAAATTACATAAGATCATCGAATGAGGACTTCAACCTAGATCCAAGACAGAGCTGATTGAACCAAAGAGGAGAGAGAGTCGACTGAACCTAATAGAAAAGAGAGTCGATTTGAACCAGAGAGCCGACTGAACCAGAGAGGTCCTGAGTGGCTATCGGCAACCTAAGGGAGGAAAACCCACCAGACTGAACCTCCAAGCCTGCTAACAGACCTAGGCTGGAAACAAGGGGGCTTTGACGAGCCCTAGGGTGCTGGCGAAGCCCTAGGGGGCTGCGGCTAGGGCTGCCGAAGTCCTAGAAGGATGCGACTGGCACTGCCAAAACCCTAGGGGGATGGCGTCTAGTGTGGTGTGGACTGCTGCTGGTGTGGTGGTGCGGTGGTGGTGTGAAGGTGGCTATAGGGTTGTGGTTTCTAGGGTTTTAGAGTGGCTCTGATACCATGTCAATGTTTGAGAGGAGAAAAGTTAGTAGTATGAGTGGTATCTCATCCTCTTTTATATTAAATCATCACCATAATTACAGGAGTACCCTAAGGCATAAAATAAGAATACTGAATATTCATCAGAATAAAATAGAAAATATTCTAACACATTCTAACACTTGATAGAAAAACCACAATGAAGCCAAATCACTCTTTGCATTTGTGTGTTTATAATCATTAGTAAAATGTATCACAAAATCAAAAAACAAGATTTTGTCTAGAATGATGTGACAGCTACACTTTGTCTTATTCCTTATTTGGATCAGATTTTTTACCAGACTTTTTATTTGACATTTGGCTTTTTAAATAGTTTCAGTTTTGGATCTTTGAGTTTAAAAAATTAAAAATTAAAAAAACTAAAAGCCCATTAAGAAGTAAAACATTGAATAGTAATTGAAAAAATAGGCTAGAAGCCAATTAGCTTTTAGATTATAAGAGACTAAGACACCATATCATTTTGTATGAGGAACTTTGTAGTCTGGTAGATGAATTTCGTTTGTCTATGATCACTCGTAATGGTGACTAACAAGAAGTTCAAGCAAGAACAGAGCATGTACTCTTCTTACTAAACTACATTTTTTTTATCACCAAATTCATACTAAAACTATATGCCTAGGATTGACATTAAATTATCCATCCTTCCTTTTGTGTGCATCGCAAGCTATTAAGAAATGTTTCTTTTCACCACCCACCCCCCCACACCCATCATACCAAAGGATACCTCCTTTAGTATTTCCAATAGATAGAAGTTGATATAAATAACCAAAAAGAGTTGAGAATACTAGCTTTAAGTCATCCCACCATTTCTGGATTGGGAGGACTATGGTAAGGGAAGACTGCTTATCCATCATCTTTTAAAAGTGAAACAATGAGCTTCATGTCTATATTCATTTTAGTTGAAGACCTTTTGACAATTATAGTCTCTCGCTTAGGGGGGGCGTATTAGCGCTTTAGAAAGATTGTAGGGCCTTTAGGCTTTACTAATAACATATTCATCTCACGTTAAAAGTGAAACAATGAGCTTCATGACTATATTCATTTTAGTTGAAGACGTTTTGACAGTTATAGTCTCTCGCTTGGGGGCACATTAGCGCTTTAGAAGATTGTAGGGCCTTTAGGCTTACTAATAACAAATTCATCTCACGTTAGACGTGAACTAATAACAAGTTACTTTCCTTGTAGAAGATCATGTGTACGTGCTCATTGAGAAGGGCCGCAACGTTTTTGAAATATCATAGTCAAACCTTTATTTTATTTTATTTTATTTTTTGCGTTACCAAAAAGATTTTTAAAAGTATTACTACTACCATAATGATGATTTTCCTAACCTCCTAAGGCACTCTTTGGCATCCTCTACAAAAATGCACTTTTTTATCTTTTTTTGGTCACATCACCTCTCTACTTTTTACACATCTGTCAGTAAAAAGTCAAAAAATATACTTATTTAGATCATCCCAAACACCATGTTTGACTTCTATTTATGGTACATACATTAGGGGCTTCAGAGAACTTTTGGCAATTTAAATGTTGCACTGTGAATAACACTGAAGTTTTACGAACCAAATCTTCTACAATGCCGGTTCAATCGTATATTGCATAATGCCTAAGCAAACATAGTTGATGTTCAATCAATTGTCAAGTCACTAACGCAAAACCAAGCAACCAATAGTTTGTAATCGTTTTAGGTCACGCTATGAGTAAAGAATAATCTAGGCATAGTAACAATAGGCATAGAGCATAGTACTGTCATGATTACATTTTTAGTATGCAATGAATCCTATCATAGACCATCACCCTAATGCAGTGTAAAATTTAAACAAAAACAAAAATTATTCTCTCACTCAGTTAAATATGTATTCGTAGTGTCTCATCAAATCACTTCATTGTCCTCCTTTCTCCACAAAAATAGGATTCCATAAAATGATTGATAAAAGACCTACCAAAGCAATTAAGTTTTCATATGCAAGGCATAAATCAACCTCTTAGACTTGTACACATGTTCCAATTGATTAATTAACATTGTCAACCCCCTCACACCCAATAAAGGTACAAGTACCATGTCAAATACCCATTAAAGGTAAAGGCAACACTTCCAATCCTTTCTCCAATTAAAAATTTGTCATCATTTGTACTAACAACCTCTAGAGGTTGTTAACACATTACAGCTGAATTTATAATATTATTCACCTTGTCACCCCTAAACAGGATGTATTGAACTCATAATTGATTAGATACTTTTTATGATTGTCAACTAAGTACGCAAGTAAATTGCTCTCGGTTGTCCAATCATTTTAAAACTAGAGTCATTCTTTGATCAATGATCACTATGAGTCAGATAATAGAATTTGATCAATCCTTTTTTCTATCGTTAAGGTGGAGAACTGAACCACGAATTCTCTTTCTAAATCATCAATTGAGTCACTATTTGTGAACCAGGATTCTATTTTGTCATCAGTCCAATCCCCCCTTCACATTTTTTTTTCCTTTTCTTATCAATGCATGAATTAATAGATCTCTTGACTTGTATATATAACACAGACATGACCTTAGAGTTGGTTTCATTGTGTAAATAGCAATAAATGGAGGGAAAAAAAGAAAAAAAGAAGAAGAAGAAGACAATGTACACTTGTCAAATATTTGTTAATTGGAAAAATTAGATATCAATAATCATAAATGTTATAATCCTCACCTTGGTTTGTCTCAGAAAAAATGCACATTGGAACAAAGTCTTTAAACATGTTCAAAGCATAGCTTTTTGGCATGTTTGCAATCTCATTGCCAGCCATCTCCATTGTGAACTGATTGTCATTCAAGATCAATGTAAGAAGAAAGAATGATTTACACTATGAACATACCCAAATAACAAACAACAATTCACATAACAAGAATAGAATGAGCACCAAATAATTGTATCACTACCTCCTCTTATTTTGTTATAAATTTAAAACTTTTAAAATACAATCAATCTGCATAGATGAAAAGACGGTATGTATCAGTAACTCCATCCATACAATTTTAGAGAAATACGGAAATGAATTATTGTTTGCCTCTTTGATAAATTTATCCCATAATGTGATTACTAGTTTAAAAGATCAAATAAACTACATATTCACCAATATCGTGTAGATTGTTTTTATTTATTTTCAATCAGCAGTATCATGTAGAATATTTTACAATAATAATGTAACAAATGTGGGACAATAAACTTCTCCGATCATCATAAATCAACTATCAGATTTACATAGACATCGTCAACATGAGCTTACAGTCTGTTTGCAAAACTCAGAGGAAAAGAAAAAAATTGGCTTCCTTTCCTCTTGTTTGAACCAGAGAGAGAGAGAGAGACCAAAAAAAAAAAAAAGAAAAAGGAAAATGAGAGAGAGAGAGAGAGAGAGAGAGAGAGAGAGACCAAAAAAAAAGAGAAAAAGGAAAATGAAAGCTTTATAATGTGAGTAAGGGTATCTCCAATCCTTATCAAAATGTTGACTCAAAATTAAATTTGAGTAAAAACACCCCCAAACTCTTCTCCACTCCTTGACTCAAACTCGTGCCAAATTGAGTTTTAAAAATAAAAATATATATATAAAAGAAAGGGAGACTCAAATCTTGAAAATGTCCAAAGGCTATATTTGCTATATTTATTTACCAAATTGCCATTATTGAAACATGATGAGAATTTATAAAAAGAATCTGAGAAAAAAATTGGAGTTTGCTATTCGAGTGCTTCGTATCAAAAGAAACTTCTACTCAAATTTTGATTGGATATGGGCCTAAGAGTGTGAGGAAATCGATTCTCACGGAAAATGAGGGCAAAATAGATATCTAGTTAACACCTCTTTTCTCTCAAAATCTCTCCAATTTTGGAGATATTCAAAAAAATATCGGGTAAATTATGCAAATGGTCAATGTAGTTTACATAATGTGTCAATTTGATCCTTCTTGTTATAATTTGCTCGATTTTGTCCCTTAATTTAACAGCACATTGGTCCAATAAATTTGGTGGACGAAAACTCAAACAGAGTGTCAATTATGTGTCAATTAGGCCCCTATCATAATCAAGCAAATTATTTGACACATCTTGTATCGAATTAAAAGACCAAATTGACACATCGTTCGAGCACATGACCACTTTCCAACCGTCAAACCTACCGGCCATTATTTATTAGACCAATATGACACAATTCATTAAATTAAGAGACAAAATCGAGTAAATTAAAATAATAGAGACCAAATTAATACATTGTATAAACTACATAGACCATTTACATAACTTACCCAAAACTTACCCAAAAATATATATATATATATATATATATATTTTTAAGAGAAAAAACCTTTTCTATTTCTCTTATTTGAGAGGAATAAGATAAATCAACCAATCCAAACGAGCTATTAGATCAATCAAACACAAATCAAACGAAACAATCCATTGAATTCAAAAGTAGATCAATATTCCACGTACTCAAAAATTTGGGGTGAAATTGAGCAAAGATGTGAAGAAAGAAAAGAAATCATAAAAAGTACCTGAAGGGAAGAAGAATCATCGGAGCGAAGAGGATCGACGGAGACGACGACTTTGGCGAGGGAGGGAGAGTCGGAGGAAGAGGATTGAGAGTGAGAGAGAGAGTGAGAGTTCCATGACTTTGAAACCACGAGTGGGCACTTCATCAGCCACACCGACCTCTCCGATTTTCCAGCTTCCAAACTAATATTACTATTACTGCTGCTGCCGCTGCTGCTCCGATCTTCCTCCATCTCTCTCTCTCTCTCTCTCTCTCTTCGTTTCCTATTTTTTCTCTCTTCTATCAACGGTCTACAACTCGGTCCGCCGATTCCGTACAACCGAGTCTGTCAGAAATTTTGACAATTGCTTTTCTAATATATTTTTTTATTTTTTTAAAAGATTTAAGAATAAGGGGATGCACCAATAAATCCCAAATTAATAACTTATACACTGTTTAGTCCTAAAAGTTTTCTTATAGACTAAAAGGTCCCATTACAATGTTAATAACATCAGATACAATGTTAATAACATCAGAGTCATGTTACAAACATTGGATTTCAAACATCTAATGTTTATCAAATTTCAATAATGTTTGAAAATATATGATGAAAAATATCTAATGTTCATCAGATTTCAATAAATTTTGAAATTATAGAATGAAACATCAGATCATTTACATCATTCACATCATGTTGATGTAAAAATGGGACTAAATGGAGCATAAGAAAACTTTTAGGACTAAATGGTTCAACGTTTCAAAAACTAGGACTTATGGGTAAATTTTTCAAAAAATTGATGGAGAAATTTGTTGAAAAAGAACGTATAAGGATTAGTTGTAGTAAATATTTTTTTATTGGTAAGAAGTGAATAATTTAGTGAGAAATTTTATTTTTAATTTTATTTGTTAATTTTTTTTACCTATTTATTTAAGGAAAAAATAGTTTAGGGTCTCTCTCCCACTTTTCATAATGGAAGAGATTCACAATATTATTTTTTGATGCCTAAAGTCGTTAAACATATGTCAGAGAAATTTGTCTTCGAATAGATCGATTTTTGACTCTTCAGTTGCTGCCTTGGGTTCAGTTGCCATTATCAATCAATCTCTTACTTCACCTCCACCGCAGTTGCCGTCTCCTCCACTGTTATACGAACTATACCTTCTAGCCAGCTCGGAGACCGATCCGAATGCGGTTGAAGCCAGTTTCTCGTTCCTGATAGCAGTATCAACAACATCGAGACAGGTCAAAAAGGAACTCATCCGGTTCGAAATCGTAACAACCGCAGGGAAAATTCTCTCCGACTGATTTGGTTGCAGGTGTCCTGTAACTCCGGTGTCTGGTTTCCAAAAAGTTGTTCTTGCCATTTATGGCGTTGCATGGGTGTTACTCTGGTGCCGTTCAGTGGTATTTTGAGAGAGGATGTTTTGGTGGTCTTCTATAGTAGATCTCCAGGTGTAATGGGTTGGTGTCCTTGCAGGTGGTGCCTAGTCTAGATGTGAGCTGCAACTCCGGTGGGTTTACTCTGTTAGACGAAGCTTTGCATTTGTGTAGAAAATGAAGTCAGGTCTGAGGATCTGGTTTTGCATGGTATTTTGGAATAGAGAAGATGGCCAGTGACACCATTTGTTGGGTTATCCTCCTCCTGGTAAGAGACTAGTCATGTTTGAGGTTTGATTACTCATATTTTCTTCAACGAGAAATTATTCAGTGGATTAAGCAAGCTCCTGGATTTTCTCTGGATTGTGGAGTTCAGAGAAATTCTCTGGGTTGAGAGAATTTCTCTGGAAATATGTCTGGAAATTTTCTCTGGATTGTTGAGAGAATTTCTCTAGAAATATGTCTGGAAATTTTCTCTGGATTGTGGTGTCCAGAGAAATTCTCTGGGTGAGAGAATCTCTGAAAATGTTTGTCTGAGAATTTCTCTGGATTTAGGAAGTCCAAAGAAATTTTAAAATTTCTCTATGATGTGTCCAGAGAAATTTCAAAATTTCTCTGGAATGAAATTTCTCTGCATCGAATTTTCTCTAGATCAATGTTGAGGGACCTTAGACATTATGAAAATATTGAGTGTCCTTTATACTATAAAATCTTAATACCAGGGACCTTAAAAAAAATTCCCCTTTATTTAAATTATTTTTTATTTATTTAAATTTATATCTATCTATTTAAATTATTTTTTTATTTGTTCATTTTTTTTTATCTATTCATTTTTTATCTCAACTTATCTATATAATTTTGAACAAATATGACCCTTTTGGAGAGAAAAGAGAATGATTTGTTCAAATTCACTATGGAAATATGTCTTATATTTTTTATTTGTCTAAATTAACACAATTTGTAAAAAAAAAAATATATATATATATAACCTATCTGTTAAAAAACTTTACCTGTTCATTTTTTAACAGATTTGATATGTTAAAATCTTTTTTTTGAATAATCTTTTTTCAAATCAGATCAGATCAAATCTGTTTAATTTTTTTCCTTATCTGTTCAATCTTTTTTTTTTAGATCAGATCTAATCTGTTAATTTGTTATGAGAAGAACAAACCAAGATCAATAATAGGAACACATAAACAATTCCATTAAATATCACTACAACCATCATAGCAGCATCTCTAACTCATGATTATTCACAGCAGTGGCAGCACAAAAAACAAGGTTGAAACCCTAATTCATGAGAGAAGAGGTAGCTGAAATGAAAGTTTGAAACCCTAGAAAGAGAAATTCAAGAGAGAAAAATATGAGTAGATCTGCGAATGTGTGTGCTTGTCCAGCAAAGAACGCTTTGGGTCTCTTCTACACTATTAACAAATAATACTACAACAACGTTTCAAAGTTGTCGTCGTCGTTTTTATCGACGGCGTTTGAGTTGATTCATTGTGGTATGCTTTGTTGCTGGTTGAAGAACACTGTTGAAAAGGCAAAACTCATTTCCACAATTGTCAAAAATAGATATGGTCGATGAACACTGTTTTTCATTTCGGATCTACCATTGCCCAGATCTAGTTAGTGATTTTCGTATCTGAGATGAAGATGATAGAGAAGAGGAAAAGAGCAATCGTCATTGGAGACAAAGCAGCAAAATAGGGATCCAACATGGAAAAAGAGGCCGACGACCATGTAGGCAACGGAGAAGACGTGATTGACGACGACGTTCTAGGGAGAAGAGAGGATGGCTCTGTTATGGTGGTGGCAATGGTGTCCTATTGGAGATCGGAGATGCAGAAAAGAAGAAGAGAGAGAGAGAGAGAGAGAGAGAGAGAGAGAGAATGTATGGTAGGTTTGGTTTGGTTTCCAAACCATGTTTGTAATATATATATATATATATATATACGCAGGGATATTTTGGTCATTTCATTTAAGTATGTCCTTATGAACAAAGTATTTTAGAGTGTGGATTTTTGACCAAACAAAATTCAAATTTAGATTTATAGATTGAGTGCCCTAATTGATAAAAAGTTACACATATGGGTTATATGTTATTTGGTAGGGCTAAGTGTAAAAATAGTAAACTAGTCTAGTCCAGACTAAATCGTACTATTTGATTTGGTTTTCTCAATATACAATTCAATTTTGATTTTTAAAATAGACGAATAGTAATGTTAGCATTATTAATAACCAAAACATGAGCATATAAAGATTATAAAACTCATATTATGATTTAGTAGAGCCTGTTCTTTTGATTGGGTGAGCAGGAGTGCTCAATTTACGACCTTCCCCCTTCATACCAACGAAAAATGGCCTTTGGCAAAAGTCATGGGTTTCCTAGTTTTCCCAAAAGATTAGGCAGCAACTTGAGATCTAGTGATGTAGTCCATTTTTGTTAAAGATTTTGTAATAAAATGGATTTCTGGACAAGTTGTCGGATCTGGACTCTCATTTATATTTCATATTACATTTGTGAGACTAGATCAGGAGATCGGAAGTCTAAACTATTGGGCATGCTCGGGTATCTCCCAAAAGCATCCCACAATAACCTATAATGGATTGAAAAATCAAGAACTTAACCTTATGATTAATTAAGTGAAATTTTTGTCATCATTTAATAGACTACTAATTGTAAATGGATAGAATAAGATAACCTAGAAACAAAATTGATAGAAAAGCAACACACTCTTGATATAGTTGGACCTAATCAAAGAATTTTTTGGGGGAAAAAAAAAAGATAAATAAAGAAAGAAAGAAAATAATCATATTTTGTCTTAGCTTATGCACAAGAGAAAAGTAATGCAGTTCCTTATGTAGTATTTCTAATTTAGAACTTAGATTCTTAACAATACTTTTATTGAAGAAAACTCTTTTCCATACCTTGTATAATGGATTGTTGACATGTAGCATATTAAAACTAGAATCGTGATAGCTATAGTATTAAAGGAAACTCATTGGAAATTAAGAACCTTAATTGGATAACTTGTAGAAAATTTGAAATGCCAAAAATTTAGTCTCAAGATTGATTAGATAATATTTCTATTACCATTTAATATCTGATTAAAGTAAAAGAGAAACGAAATAATAGAAAGATGGAACCAAGAGAGGATATAATGTGTCCTTAGCATGCTTAAATCAAAGTATAAGATTATGACTCTTTTATAAAATCAACTTTTATCAAATTCTTTTACTCCCTCCGTCCCAAAATAATAGTCCCTTTTGGGGAATCTAACTTTTTTTGGTAGTACAATTATTGCATTTGAAAAAAGTTGATTTTCCAAAATTATCCTTTTGATAGTACATTTTTTGGGAATATCAATGTGATAATTGTACTTTTTATATTGTTTATTAATTTAAAAGAAGGGCAAAAGAGGAAATTTATATTATTTTTGTACTTGATTTTTGAAGAGGGACTAATATTTTGGGACAATGAAAAATGGAATAAGGGACTAATATTTTGGGACGGAGGGAGTACTACTTATTCATCCTATCGAAAATAGAAGAATCATAATCTCAAATATGAGTTTTAGTCAAGAACAATAGGGATTTAAAATACCTATGTAATTATAATGTTGCTTAGAAAAGAAACAAATAGGAAAACTAATGGAAATACTTTAACAAACCTTCAACTTATAATAGACATGAAAACATAATAATATAAGTTTATCATGAAGTCAACTTGCCTATTTAACAAGAACAATCACCTATCACTAATAACGTTTCCAAGATAACAATCCTTAATGGGAACAACCATAGGATACTGATGAGATGTGCCAAACGATAATTCTCAATTAAATAGTAGCATGCCATTTCATGAAGCTTTAATTAAGAAAAGAAAGAGATTATTTATTGAGAGAGGTATAAGATACAAGGTAAATACCCATTTTCAAATCAAGGAGAATAATAAATGATGATTTTATCATAGCGCACAAC